TTTCACAAGAAAGAGGTTGCAACCATGTTATAGAATTATTTAAATTTATCAAATGCCTCTGACTTGTTTCGCATTAAATAAATCCAAGAGTACTTGGTGTGGTCATCCAGAAATAAGATATAATAACGAAAACCAGAATTTGAACTAAAATGAGCTTGCCACACATCTTAATGAATTAAAAGAAAAGGAGCAGATGCAATATTATGAGAAAGAGGAAATATTGTAACTTAGATTGTTTTCCTAGATAACAAATATTACAACCAGAATTTACAGAAGAGGAATTATAATTAATGAAACCTCTACGAACTAAAGCTGCAAGAGAACGCTTTCCTGGATGGCCTAAACGTTGGTGCCAAAGATAAGAAGGTGAGATGGCACTTGAGAGAGCAACATGACAAGAGCGACGAGAGGTCGAGCGAACATGATAGAGAGAGTCATTATTTTACAATGGAGCAAGACTTGCTTTGTCTTCTTGTCCTTAACAAAAAAAACCAGATTCAGTGAATTGAATAAAACAATTACTGTCGACGCACAAGCGGTGAACAAACATTAGATTCTTCTGAAGAGAAGGAACATATAAAACATTATTTAATCAAAAAGGATTAAAAGATGTCGGAAGAAAAGAAGTGTCAGTAGATATAATAGAAAGATGAGTACCATTGCCAACCATCACCTGTGACGAACCACTGTAAGGAGATGAAGAGGATAAAAGTGATGGATTGTTCGTTATATGCGCAGAAGCATCAGAATCAAGATACCATACTGATGGTTGTACTTTCTCCAAATTCATAGCGGTAAATGATTTTGGTAGTAAATTGGGAACATAGGAATGATTGAAATGATTCCTACACTTCAAAGCAGTATGATTAAAGTGGAAGCATATTTGACATTATTTAGTCAAGGTGAAAGGAGGTCGCCCGAGAATTCCATTACCCGAAGAAGAAGGACGAAAGTGTGGTTGAAAACCAGCCCAGTGAGGAGAAAAAATAGAGCGAGAAGAGTATTGACTTCGACCTCTACCTCGGCCTGATCGACCACTACCGCGACCATTATGGGATCATCTTGGGTATTGATTCATGAGATGAATTTGAAGAAGGAGGTTGAGAAAGTGGTGGTGCTTGAAAGGAAGCCATTAACGCAGTGTGAGATGTAGAATCTTCACTGTCTCTCACATTAATATGCGCTTAAGTAACAATGGACGCAAAGCGAGAAAGGACGGAAGTGTTCCTGTCACATTTAAACCAGAGACAAAAGTACAATAAGAAGGTGGAAGTCCCTGCAATGCTTGGGTCACCAAATTATCATCAGTAACATGTTTTCCAACTGCTCTAAGTAAACATGCAAGTGAATGCAATTGCTAGAGATAATCCTTCATGGACAAGGAACCTTTTTTAAAAATTTGAAATTTTGATTTCAGATGAATTGACGAGGATGAAACCCGATCTAGGTAAAGGGAAGCAAGAATATCCCATGCATGCTTGGAAGTGTCGCAAGCATAGTTGAAAAGGAGTCAAGAATCGGAAAGGAGAGAGTGACATTAATCCAACTTAGAATAATCGTATCACATTGAATCCACAAACAATACTCGTCATGAGTTGAGGATGGGCATGGAATAGATCCATCAACCAAGGGAAGAAGATTGTGGCCTTTTAGAACAGTAAGAAAAACCTTTTTCCAAGTAAGATAATTAAGATATGTCAATTCAATAGGTACAAAACCTTTAATGTTTGAAATAGTTGGAGGAGGATTTGGAATACCCAAATAGGATTGAGAGGAGACAACTTGAATTGAGGAAGAAGTTTGAGTGGAAGTAGTTTGTGAAATCACGGTGCTCTTGGTACCAAGTTGAAGTTTAAGTTACAGAGAGAATGGAGAAAATAAACCATATAGAAAGGGCCTGAACATGTGCTATTTATAAGGCAATTACAAGTACATGATTCTTTGAATTATATTTACAATAATATCCTTATCATATATGTGATATATGAAGAGGTAAAACATATTTGTTTATTTTACTCTAACAATTTTATACATTAATTTATGATCATACTAACAATTCTTCGTTTCAGAAAAGAATTGAAAAATAAAGAATTAAATTTTTCATGTTGATTTTCTAAGTGTTAATTATGAGGAACTTATTAATATTTATAATTACTAGAGGTGAGAAAACTGTCAAAGTCTTATTTGACTAAATTTATTTCTTTTGAATTAAATAATTTTTCCACTTATTTTTTCTCATACTATCAAAATGTCATTGGCAACATGAAACCTCTTTTGAAAATAATTGTTCTACAAAAGAATTATAGTGCTCTTTGACAATCTTTACACAATATCAAAGTTCATTTCATAGAAACACAAAATCACAAATTCTAAGTCACTGATATTTTTCGTCTATCACAAATAGACATACCACTTAGTATTTAGAATACTAACAATAAAATAAATTTTTTTGTAGTTTATAGAAAATCAAAGTACACACTGACTTATTATGTGAAGTTTTCATATTCTTCAAACTAATTGCATAGTCTAATTTATCTAGAGTAGAAAACTACAAGAGTCTTTAGTCTACAAAAATCAGACACAATCAAATTTCACATGAAGTAAAAAATACAAAAAAAAATTAGTCTCCAAACAGAATAAAATATATTCTTAGATTATCACATAGATATGCTTTTCTTTTAAAATTGCCTTCCAACTATAACATTTTGACATTCTATATTATCAAACTAAAATATGCATATCTCATTCTGGAAACTAAGAATTTTAAAGGCAACACTCTTTGCCAAGGAAAATTCATTCATAAACAGATGGTTTGCAGATCTTTTTCCAAAGACACACATGATAAATGTCAAAAAGTTAACTTTTATAAACTATTTTCCTCCTTAGATAAATAATAACAAAGGTTACCTGGTGTAATCTTTAACTGGAATACCACCAATTTTTCTGGTACATTCTCACTTCGACCTTGCTAAACAAAGCACCGAATTCTGGAGAAGTAGTGCATTAATCTTCTACTTTCATGATCTGTTTCCGTCAATCAGTAGAATACAAGAAATACCAATAATATAATAATTTCCTTAAGATTGGTGTTCATCTTGTATTCCTAAGATACTTAGAACAAAAACTTTGAAGAACTTGATAAGAAACAACAAGTTTAAAGAGCATTTTCAAAAACTAGAAAAATTAAAACCAGTAGAGAAAATAGAATCAGAAATAGATTAGAAACAATATACAAACTATTTTTATTAAAGAAAAAAATCGAGCCCACCGAATGCACAGTGTCCCCTTAAGGAAATTATTCTCATCTTGAGGGCCTCAAGTACTCGAGGTTAATGGAGTATATCCTCCTGGTATATCGGTACCTAAAACCACGGTGTCATCAAACCACTCAACGGCAGTAAAGTGCACTTAGAATACTAGATTTAATAGTAGTAGAAGAAGTCCAGAAAATTGGTTATATTAAAATGAGAGGAAATCCATCAATTTATAGAAAACAAAGGATAGTGTGAAAATGTTCTTATTATGCCTTACCGAAAAGGTCACAACCCTTTGAAAAAGTCACAATCTTTCGGAAAGGTCACAACTAGGAGTGGCAAATGAGCGAGTCGAATCGAGTCGAATATGAATCGATCGAAAATGAGTTAAATAAAAATGGGTAAAATACTCTACTCGACTAATATTTTAAATGGGTAAAAACGAGTTATCCAATCGGTAATATGGTTATCCATATTATTATAGGGATCATGTTAAAAGCTTCAAAAGCAAAAAATACTCTTCAACCCACACCCCCACCCCATCCCCATGAAAAAAAATACTTAGAACTTTTAAATTTAACCTGCCCACCCCCACCCTCAACTCCAACGCCTCAAAAAATATATATTTTTTACTACTCCGACCCCCCCCCCCACGCACCCACCCCAACCCCAACACCTAAAAATTAAATTGATTTTTTTACTACTTTGATCACCCCACCACCACTACCCACGCCCAACCCCAACGCCTAAAAAATTAAATTTATTTTTTTTATTTGTTTTTTTAAAAAGAAATTAAATTTATTTTTACTACTTTGATCACCGTCACCACCACTACCCCCCTCCAACCCCCCCCCCAACCCACCTACCCACCCCCAACCCCCAATCCCAAAATAATGTTAAAATAATTTAAATGTTTTTATCTTTTAAAAAATTAAAGTCTTTTTAACCACCCCCACCCCTACCTCCCCCTCCTACTCCCCCCACCCCCACCCACACACCCCATTCCAAAAAAAAATGTGATTTTTTTTTTATAAAAAATCATTAAAAAAATTACCAACTCCCCCTCCCCCACCGCCAACCTTCCCCCTATCTCAAAAAAAATATTTAAAAAGCTTTTTTACCACCCACCTCTAATCACTTTTCTTTCTTTTATGAATGAACATTTTTTACCCATATTACCCATTTAACTACCCACTTTTAAATGGGTAAATATGAGTATTACTCATTTTTACCCATTTTCAAATGAGTTGGATACCAACCCATTTAAAATGGGTAAATTTGAGTGGATACCCATATAAATTATCCATTCTACCACTTCTAGTGATCACAGCCTTTCATAAAAGGCACAACTTTTCATAAAAGTCACAACTCTTTATAAAGTCGCAACTCTTCATAAAAGTCGCAATTTTTCGTAAAAATCACAACTCTTCATAAAAGTCACAACTCTTCGTAAAAGTCGCAACTCTTGATTTTCCATTCACACCTTTTAAAACCCAACACTTACATGTGTACAACTAAACTTCTTAATACCATATTGTTTGATTAACTACATCAAATTTAATAAATGCTACAAATGTGTTCAAAATATGAGAGGTCACAATCTTCATTGATGAAATATTGCATAAAAAAGGGAAGAAAAACGGTATTAACATGGTGCAAGTATAATGTTTTCTAAGTAATTGAAAGTTCAGAAACTTGAGTGAAGCATCTCTATAAATCCCCGACACAGGAACAAAATGTAGGAACTCATGATTTTTCTTGGACTGGTGGTGGTTGCTGAAGGATTGAGTTGGCGAGCTCTTCGATTAGCTTTACAGGGAGTGGAGGCATCCGTTTCATCTCTGAACTGTCATTTAAGCTGCAAGAGATCATTTATTTTAGCATTTTATGAAATGGAAAGCAAATTAGAGATCTAAGTTAAGAAATTACTTACCTTGCTGAGCATATAATACAAAAATATATACTTTAATATAAATGTAATTTGACATTTCTTTCTCTTTTATGGACAGATACCTAGTTTTTCTTTCTTTACCAAAAATGTTGGTCAATCTATCTTTTTTATTTTCAATATGGAAAGAAGTAGTTCTTTGTAGATATGATGTTTCTTGTGACAAAAAGCATGGAAAGAAGATTGATGTATCGTGAACTTATAGCACATTCGATGCCCAAAACAATGGATTATTGCAAGAAACCGAGCGTGTTTTTGTAGATATGATGTTTCTTGTGTCTAATGTGCAGGAAAAGAGATGTTAAAAGAATTTGGCCGTGGAGATGTATACGGCCCGTGAACCCAACCGTAAGGTTGAAATTAGAGTAAAGTTGTTGCGGACGAGAGGCCAGACAAGCCGTGAAGATGTATACAACTCGTGAACCCAACCGTGAACATGAACTGTAGGAGGATAAAAGCAAGTGAAATTAAACTATATGAGACGTGAAGATGCAGACGGACCGTACAGTGACTCGTGGGAAGATGAAGTTGAAACTGAGCAAATATTTCTAAGTGTTGGATCACTGAAGGTTTAAACGGATCGTGAAAAGCTTCACGAGCCATTTTACCTATCCTTGAATGTTGTCGACTGAACTACTTTCCTACTTCGATTAGTATTTATTTTGAATACTGTAATTAATTACTTAGGGTTTAATTTAATTTTATCATCGATATTATGAGACAAGTTTTTCATCGCAAAGACGATATCTTTCAATTTTAGTTTTATCTTTTGGATAGTCGATCCACATTTGATCTTGGGATTCGAGTTTTTAATCAAGTTTCATTATTGTAAGTCTATTACTTCTAAACTTTCATCAATGTTTAACAATTGTTTGGTTAAGAACATGAGCAGCTAAACACCACAAGTAGGGTTGTGGGAACCATGACTAGGGAGCAACGTTAAAATCAACCACAAATGACTATCAATTAATGTTTTGCATGCTTCGTTTCTAATTTTGCATTGATTTCTTTCTAACGAGTGCACGCGTTAGACCTATGATTATTAATTACTTGCTCGAGAGAGAAGTATTTGATTAGGAAAAGTAAGAAATGAATGAACTCTACAATTGAATAACTTGTTTTGAAGACTTGAGCCCGAGAGGGAATAGTTTCTAAATAAGTAAGAAAGGGTTAAAACTTAAACACACTAAGACCGAAAGGAGATGAGTGATATTCACCTGATAGGGCTGATAAGCGTATAGGTGTACTGGTCTTGTAGTTTCTAAACAAGTAAGAAAGGGTTAAAACTTAAACACTCTAAGACCGAAAGGAGATGAGTGATATTCACCTGATAGGGCTGATAAGTGTATACGTGTACTGGTCTTGCTAAATCATGTATGCATTGTATCAAGAGACTGTTATTCGTATGAGATCTAAGTTGTAGTCCAAAAGTCATGGAGAACACAATTCTAGTCTATTCTAAATCAATAACCAAACTTTGAAACCGTCATCTGTTACTGTACTATTTGATTCTAAATACAACTAATTACTTGGACATTAAAACAAACCCAATATTTACTTTATGCAACTCTATTTCTGGAAATTTCAACCACAACTGAAGATAAGAACTAGTAGATATATTTTCTTCTCCATTCCCAGTGGGATCAAACCCAACTCTTGTTGGGTTCTATAATTGACTTTGACCGTTTTATACTTCTTAATTATGGTGTAAGTTTGGACGTATTAGATATCCAATAATGATAAAAGAGAATGACAAGATGCAAAAATAAATAGATGCTTTAGTAAAGATACGCAAACATATATATAGTTGGAGAGAGATCAGAGAGAGAATTGAAGGATAATCAATCATACTTATTTACAACATTGAAGATATTACTTTGAGTCTGCAAGAGAAGGTTGATGTTTTCCTGGATCTGCATCAGTCACAAAAAAAATAATGCTTTAACAATAACACCATATATTCTCTTTATGAAATATATATTAATGTTTGTCATAGATCACAGATAAAAGGGTAGAGGCAGTTGTACTGGAAAATCTCAAAATCACCAACTGACCTTACAAGCGGCAAAGTTAGCAGAAATTTGATCCAATGCCTGAGCATTTTGTTCAAGAAGCTTCCCTGTGAGACCACCAATGGCTGCAAAAATTTCAGGCATGATTATCCAAAACAAAAAAAAAAAGTCGAAAAAATAATGCTGAAACATTGTATGTATATATTATAGTTATCAGAACAACTTTAATGATTTGGTTTTGATCATCAAGACGAGATTATACTTTTATCATCTCTATTCAATATTTCATCTTCCTGAAAATGTATACCTCCCTCTAAAATGTCCTACTAGACTCTAGAGTATTAAAAATAAAATTAGAGCAAAACGACCAACCTTGGTAGAAAATTCCACCATCACTGTCCATTGGCAAAATAGCTTGAGCATTGGGAGAAGCATTTGCTTGATTTGCAATATTAGTTAATTTTGGCATAAGATCTGTAAGTTTTTCCTAAAACCACAAAACAAGGAAATCATGAAAAAGAACTTATTGTTCAAAAATCAATAAATGTACAACATGTTTTGGAAGGTGTAGACTGGAAGCAAATATTTGTTTCATTTATTTGGAAGGGGTAGACTACATAAGGTAATCTACCGGGAGTTAGAATGTAAGAGGTCGTTTGGTTGGAAACAAGTTATCCCAGGATAGGATAACTTATTCCACCATGTATATGGGATAACTTATCCCATCAATATGATATAAATGGTGGGATAAATTATCCCAAACATGGCAACCAAACAAGATAAAAAAAAATCATCCCATCACTATTATTTTTAATATCTCACACCAAACAACCCCTAAATGTATCTAAAATGGTGAGTAAAATAAAATAACAGAAGACATACTCCTTTTTGAATCTCTACATATTAATTGTAGGCTTAGCTTGGGTAACATTATAGAACAATGAATATTGAACAAACATGTAATGTGTGCATATATTACATACACTTGCTCTTTTGGTTTAAGCACATCAACCTTTTTGTTTATGTCATATGCATATAGCTATACAATTGTCTGCAATTCTAAGATTTCAATCACACCAAAGTTTCTCAAATGGTGTGAAATTTGTCCAACAAAGACACACTTGCAAAATGAAATATATAGAACTATGTGCTGCAATTATAGAATACACCTTTTTGTCTTTATTTTTCCTTGAAATATCATCACTTCCTTGCTTCCCATTTTGCTGCTTCAATAAAGAGAAAAGAACATTTAAACATAGTTATTATGCATATTTGGGAAATAGTTAAAATTAATAAGACTTACACTCATCCATCTACATCTGAATATTACATCTCGTAGACATTTGCCGTTTAAGTGCATCGCAATTTGAACATAACAATGCATTTCGCTGTCAGATGAGTATCTGCAGAAATAGTATTTCACTGTCAGATTAGGCATAATATTCGTCAAACTAAACAAAGCAAATCCAAAGTAAAAAAGTAATAGATATGGTTTGGAAGTAGTATTATTTGACAATCTATAAGCGAAAAGTGTCTAATAGCAATTAGTCATACCATCAAATAACCAATAGTAATAGTGAAATAGTTAACAACCTTTTTATTTCCATTCATACCAGGAGGATCAATAGTGTTCCCACCTACCCTACCCTACCCTATAGGGTGACTCAAACCCTAAATCTATCGATTCGATGGTGAATATTCTCAACCACTTATCAACATCTAATAAGTCATAAAATTCTATGTGTTTCATCACATGACATCAAATGTTAAAATCATCTTATGAGCAACAAATAATAATTCATATGAGAAAACTATAGTTCTTAGCAAACATATGATGAGTGACTTACTTGGCGAGCAATTCTTCAAGAACAGATTGTTCTTCAGGAGTCCATTCATTGTTGAGGTATGCATTGTGCTTGAGCGCCGCCATCAAAATGAATCTTTTAGACTCTCCTCCTTGTGTTTGTTAAATGCATCTGAAAAAGTTAATGAAACTTACACATATATTTGAAGAATTGTTTAGTTCTAAATTTTCAGAAAAAAATATTGAGTGAATCTTTGACCAGATACTTATTTAAGACATGATTTGACTTCTCTAAGGACATGTTTGACTTTTGTGTTTTTTTACTTTTTTCCCCTATAGTAAAATATCTTTTCTTTATTAGTTTATTGGTGTCAAATTAAATTTGAATTATTTAAGCACTTGAAAAAAAAAAGCAAAACAATGAATTCAATTGGTAAGCTTTAAAACCAATTTAACTATCCACTCTATTCATATGCTATCTCTATGTTAGTTTATCAGCACCCAATTAATTCCTAATCATTTAAGAACATGAAAAAATACCAATGAATGTGATTGATAAGCTTTAAAACAAATTTGACGATCTACTTGTTTCATATGGTATTTATATGTTAGATTATCGGACCCAATTAAATTCGAATCATTTAAGCACATGAAAAAATGCATACCAATGAATTCAGTTGATAAGCTTTAAAATTAATTTAATGAACACTCGATTCATATGATTTTTATGTTCAATATATAGTCAGAATATAGAAAAATATATATGCAGAGCCAAAATGCAATGGAAAAATAAATTGGAACGTACCTTCCGCCATAGTTGTTCAAGTGTCATCGGAATCGTCGTTGATCTAGCACCAACTTGTAAGTCACTAAATGAAAACCATAGTTTCATCTATTATAGGCTCATAATGCCAGTCTTATAGAGTCAGAAACATATTTATAGGTAGGCTAGGGACTCTTAGGCAAAAGTTTAACCCTACGACTCATATTTAATAGTTTTTCAACCAATGGAACTTCCACATATACCTAATAAAAAAATATGTTCTCCTATACATATTATTTACTTGGAAGACAAGAAAAATAATTTAGGAATAATGTAACACCCCAAAATTTTTAGGGCAATAGCAGATCAAGAAAGTTTAGAAAAAAAATCTAATTCTGCAGAACTTTTGAGAACTAGGACGTCTTCTACGGTCCGTAAATGAAACCATAAGCTGTAGATGAGGTTCATAGATAGAAGTTCAGAAATAGGTTTATTTTCCTAAGTTTCATGAACTAGGATTATGGGTAGTAAATTTTTTTATGTGTCATAAATGATCCCCTAGATCTAAGTCCTGAAACTTAAAATTTCATATGAGAACTACGAACGTTCTACTGATCATAGAATGAACCATGCATGGCTCGTAAACATGTCCCATTGATCAAAATTCAAAAGTTCATATTTCAACATGATTTCTATGGACAAGGAGCTACGACCTGTAGATGCCCTCGTAGAACCTGCCAATCTCAGTTTCCATGCGGGCTCATTTTGCTATTTTCCCATAATCTCTAATACTATCTCGTTTTAACTTATTTTAAGTGGTATAAAGGAAAATTTAGTGACCTTAACCTCCCCTTTCACGCACAACTCTCCAAATCACTCTCACGCACAACTCTCCAAATCAGATTTCTTTTCATTCAAGGTTCCTTTCAAGCAAGAATCGGGGATCCAAAGCTTCAAGTCTCTATTCAACAATTTAAGTTGGTGTCTTTACTCCAGGTGTGTGGGATTTGATCATGGCTATCTTATCATATCCATTGAGTTCCAAAGAAATCTCAGTTCCTCAATCTATGATTTCTACAAAACCTAGGGTTTATTTTTAGCATGTATTTTCAATGTAATATAATTCCTCTCCATGTATAGCCTTCTCTTGCATGATTTTACTTATAAATTCCATTTTGTTAAATGTATTTCATGAACCCCGTATTATAAGTATTTTCCTGTCTCATATTTATGTTCTTTCGGATGCATGTTCCTGATTATCTGATTTCATGATTAAAGATGCTTTCAGATAGAGTATATTTTAGTATATACCACATTATCAGTATTCAGGAGCTATTTAGTCATTATCAATTTATCAGTATGACTCAGTATTATTAGATTATTACTTTCTTTAGCTAATTGCATGGTTACATTGGGAGTTTACTTAGCATCGAGCAGACCTAGGGATGAAAGCTCACCCTTTAGTTGAGGCATGAGACCTTTAGTAGTAATCCCTATGTTCCAGAACTACGTGTTACCATATGATTATAAGGGCCACCCGTTAGTTGAGGCTTGACTCCTTAGTCTTTTATAGACATTAGCTTATTGGATCCACATTAACTCAGATCAGCCTTTACAAATTGGCAAAGTATATTGTGCCCTTTTGGTGGAGATTATACATCAAACTACATGTAGTATCTCACATGGTTACATATCGGTTTTAGTACTCCCACACTTCAGTCTTCCAGTTATTGCATGACCAAGTAATCAGTTATATCATTACAATATTTACTAGAATTTTATGTTATTTACTTGGTCAATGTATCAATATGACTTTATAGCCCAACATGTCAATTATCATGTTTATCATGCATATCCTACTCAGTACATTCAATGTACTAACTACATACTTTCTACCTATATTATTTGATAATATAGGCTCAAACATACAACACTTAGGTTGTGGTTAGTACAAATTCAATTAGCGTAGCAATAATTTTTGGTGAGTCATCATTCTTCGAGGATGACCTCTATCTTTACTTCAGTATTATTCTTTCAAATTCAGAAAGTTAGAGTCAGCTAGGGGCTTGTCCTAGCAACTCGTCTTAGTAGAGTCTTTCAGATAGTTAGTTTAGATTTAACTTATGATTTATCAGATATTTGTCTATTCGATATAAATAATCTCTTTTTGTATTATCTTCCATATTAGTATTTTAGTTATCTTCGGTATTTTCATTTTTTTTTGTATATTCTTGGTGTCATGCCGACCATAAGGTTAGCTTGGGGTCACTCGTGGCTCTAGGCACCATGTTACGACCAGAGTTCTAGAATGTCTGAAGTTGTGTTAAGTAGAGTCTTGTTCATAGTTGTGATGCGTACCACATTTATGAATAAGAGTCTATGAAACGTTTTAGGAAATACTTCACTTCATTCATATTATTATTGTGTGATAGAGTGTGAACTGTGATAAACTTCCTTCTTATTCATACTCTACACGTTAACAAAATTTATGGTAATGGTCTATGGACAGGTTCACAGATGGTGAAAGGTTCCACGGTGAGTGAACCCATCCATGGACCTGAAACCTGTGGAAAATAATCTAAGTCAAGGGTCTACAGATGGGTTGACGGACGGTGAAGCGATTGATGGTCAATGAAAAGCTTCCATAGAGGGTGTTTCAACAATTTTTAAGTCGGGGCTATTTAAGTATTTTCCCACTCTTTTAACCCTACTATGTCATTTTTACCTATTCTAAATGAATATAAATAATTTCTAAAGATTCTAATCCACCCATTCACTCCAAAAATATCTCCAATCTTCTTCTCCAAGTTTTCTCCTAGGGCTTCAAGAGATTCAATGGATATTCAAGATCCTAGTCTCCTCTTTCAACTATAAAGCTAGGATTCTTCAAAGTATGTGGAATTTAACCATTAGATTTCATTCATCCAATGGGTCCCAATGGATTTCAAATTTTCCAATTCAATTTCTCATAAATTGCTTAGGGTTTCATGTGATTTTCATGGGTCTTAATTGATGTTGATTTAATTGTTCAATTTCAATTTTTCTATATATGTCTTGATTAAACTACATGATTTTCTATTGATTTTTATAACTCATGCATTATTCATGATTTGGCATAATGCATAAACATGACCCTTACCTTGACGTTAGTTGGCAACTATGACCTTTAACTTTGGGTGTGCACAAGTAGGCACTTAAACTTGTATAAAATTGAGCAAATGGACACATTCGTCCTACATGGCACCCTACATGGCAATTTTCTATCCTACATGGCGTCCTATGTGTATTGTGCCATGTAGGACACTTGTGTCTACTTGTTCAATTTTATACAAGTTTAAGTGTCTACTTGTGCAAATTCAAAGTTGGAGGGCATAGTTATTCGTTGAAGCCAAGTTAAGGGTCATGCTTATGTATTATGCCTTCATGATTTTAACTATGAACTTATGAAGATATGAGTTTATGAAGAAAGTTATAGATTTGTGCATGATGATTTATGAAAGCTTATGCATGATTAATTTATGAAAAGATGTTTTATGATCTAAATAATTTTACAACTACTTATCAAGAAAACATGCATTCATTCAAAAACATTTTCAAATTGTCATTTTGAAGAGTGTCAAAAGCTCACTCTAAGTGGTAAGTTAAGCATCGATTCCATTCAAGATCAAGATACTCACCAAAAATCAAGGTGATATCTCAAAGTCAAGACTCAAGTGAAGACTCAAGGGAAGCTGCATAGATAGGAGTTTGTACTTTTATTTTCCTTTTGACTAATAGTTTTCATTTTTTTTTATGTAATTAAGGATAAGAGCCGCGATCTGGAGCCTCGATGGAACCTCACTTAACTTCCAACTCATCACCTCATCTCCTTGAACTACATGTGACCTGATTCCCTTATAACCTGGGATATGTAGGATGTCCAAAACCAAGACTCGATCACTTTTTTTTTTCAAATAAGAGTCCGGTCAAAACTTGTTGGTTTGTCTGAAAACTCTTCGTGTTTCAATCAAAGAGGGGCAAACTGTAGATACGTAATTTTTTACCTAATATAAGGTTTTACACTATTTTTATTCCTTAAATAGTTTTTTTATGTCTAAGCTATATTTTGGTTTTTGTCTTATTTTAGTAAGTTTATCTTAAAAAATTTGAAAATATTAAAAAATATATGTTTTCTTTTAATTTTAGATTAATAATAAGCTAGTATTTCTTAATTATAATTTTAGATTAGCTATTCAATTATTATTTTATTTTTATAATTAGCTAATATTTTTATTATTATAATTTTTATATTAATTATTAAAATATAATAATAACCTTAACCCCACTACTCTTCACAATTCCCACAACCCTCACCCCAGTAACCCCTTAATTTCCCACCCCACTACAACGTGACAACAACACTCCCCCACTCACAACCTATATACATACTACTACTACACACTATATTAATACACACACATGCACAACACCAAAAAAAAAAAAGAGAGAGAACAAGCAACACAAAAAATACAAAAGTACAGCAGCAAAAAGAAAAAAAAAGACTCGCACACTTCTGCACGAAGACAAAGAAAAAAACATATTCACACTTTATTTTACTCTTCTTTTTTTTCAAAAATTCACCAACACATTCACATCTTTTTTTTTCCTTTTTCATTACTATTTTCATATAAACACAATACCTATACCATCACATACAACTTACAAAAGATTTGTAGGTGTTCTAATCGAGCTTCGATTATGATTTTGCGGTATTCAACTTTACTTTATCTCTTTAATTTATTTTGGGAATTTGATGTGATTTTATGATAAGTTTCCTTATAGTCTTGTTTCATTTATAATTTGATTGAAATGAATATTGACATCTTAAGTTTATTTTGAGAGACTAAATAAACTGCTCACATGATTAGTTATATTTATGTTAGTTCTTAGTGCAAATCTCTACGAGATGAATAAAATCCTATTGCTATGTAAGAATTTTATTTTTTGTTGTTATTCAATTTTGTTATGCCTAAGCCACTATTTTTTATGTCATTGTTGTGGTTTAATGTTGATGTCAATTGTCTATTTTAATTTATGTATTTTTAGGATAAATGAGTCATTACCCAATAAACAAACAAATGGATTTTTTTATTGAACTTGAATTTACTCTATTTAGGTTTGGTTGAATAATTTGATATGTAGATTAATTTAATTAAAAATATCATCAATTAATATATATAATAATGGAATGAAAATATTAGTTGTCTAAAATTCACAAAAATAAGAGTAAGCGCTTTTAATACTAGATGAGTTTTAGGCATGTTAATATTTGTTTCAATTAAGAATGTGGTTACACATCTTTTTTGAGACTTTAAAAAATAAACTCAAGGATGCGGTGACGCACCTTGTCCAATAATATAGTTAACTTTCATTAATTTAAAGTAGAGACTTATAGATAAAATTATTAGGTGCAACATAAGAAGACAATTATGTCTCTAAATGTCAAGACCAAGAATGCGGTTACGCATCTAGGTTAAAACCAGACAAAAAAATGTTCAACAATAAAAAATGCAAACAAATAATGGCATGTAATAATGTATCCAAAACAATAATTTAAGATAAGTATAAGTCAATAAAAGCGATTGTGTTAGAACCACGGGATTCGAGGAATGCCTAATACCTTCCCTTTGGTCAACATAATTCCTTACTCGAATTTCTAGTTCGCAGACCAAATAAAAAGTTATTTCCTCTTGATTAGGGATTTTTTAAAAAGGTGACTTGGAACACCATAACTCAATTCCAAGTGGCGACTCTGAATTAGGTGTAATTTGTTTTGATACACAATATCCAAGTGGATTCACATGTATTTGAGATATATAACAAATCTCACTCACTTATCCCAGATACGTATAGATACATGTAACTAGTGTGTAAAGGTGTACGAAATCGAATTGAATACCGAACCAAACCGCAAATCGAGTCACACCGGAAAAAAACCTGACTAATGATTTGATTTGACTTGATTTGGTATTGGAAAAAAAAACCTGACTATACTTGGGTTGGTTTAATTTTAACTAAAAAAGTCAACCTGAGACCAAACTAACCCGACATTATATATATATATATATAATTTTTAAAATTTATTTTATACATAAAAGTATTTACTTTGATATAATAGTGTTGTAAAAAGCGCAAAAAAGCGCGCTTAAAGCGAGAAGCGAGGCGAGGCGAGGCCCCTGTGCTTTTATTTCGTGAAGCGAGGCGACATTGAAAAGGCGCTCGCTTCTACTGTAGAAGCGAGAAGCGCAGAAAAGCAAAAGCGTAAAAAAAGCGCGCTTAATTTGAAAAAGCGCTAATTAGGGTTTTTTTTTTTTGTTTTTTTTTGACAAGGTAACAGTTTAGGGTTTCTTTTTTAAAAAAATTGTAAGTTTTTTTTTTTTTTTAATTGCTGAAATCCTTATGCGACTTAATATACTCTTTCACGACTTCAAATTCTTTTTTGGACTGCTCTTCTCCTTCTTCTTCTCTGCTGCGACTGCTCTTCTCCTTCTTCTTCTCTGTTGCGACTGCTCTTCTCCTTCTTCTCTGCTGCGTAAGTTCTCTTCTTCTTCTCTGCTGCTGTAAGTTTCTTCTTCTTCTCTTCTTCTTCTCGTCTTCTCTTCTTCTCTTTTTCTTTGCAACTGATCTGCGATTTTTTTTCTATTTTTGGTTGCTGCCAGGTTACCACTGCTGTAAGTTTTTTTCTTCTTCTTCTTCTTCTTCTCCTCCTTCTCTTCGAGGTTGCTGCTACTGTTTTTTTTTTTTGGTTGCTGCTGGGTGTTATCTATATTTTTATTGCTGCATTTTTTTTTTCCAATTTCTGTTTGCTGCTCTGTTTTTCAATCTCTATTACTGACCTGCTTTTTTTTTCAATTAATATTACTGCTCTGTTTTTTCCAATTCTTTTGCTGCTCTGTTTTCTTTTTTATTTCTATATAGTAACTGTGATCAGTGATGTGTGTATGCTTGCTGCTCTGTTTTTTTTTTTATTTCAAGACAGTGCGACTGCTCTGGTTGCTGCTCTTAAATCTTAATAGTCTTTATTTTTCTTACTTAGTAAATTTGTTGTTTTGTTACTAAGTGACACTTCTTTTTTGCTTGTAGTAACTAGTGAAGTTGTATTTTCTTATTCAAAATGTCACAAAAAAAGGATCCGGCTTGGGCGTATGGAACTCCTATGGGTAGTAACACAAAAGTTAAATGTAGCTTTTGTGATGTGACATACAATGGCGGAATATTTCGTCACAAAAAGCATCTTATCGGTGGCTATAGAGATGTTAAAGTATGCCCGAACGTCCCGGATAAAGTGAAGGAAGAGATCAAAGAATATTTGTTGAAGAAAAATGAGTTTAAAATTCAAATGAACCATGAAGCATCCATGGTTAATCTTGTTGATAATGATGAAATGGATGATGATGAAGTTGAAGTTAATATGCCAATGGGGCCTCCCTCAAAGCATCAAAGGATGCCTTCAAGTAGTGGGAGTGGGTCTTCCATCAATAGCACTATCAAGGGTCCTATGAATCTCTATTTCTCGCAAAAACCAAACGAAAAGAGAAAAGGTGGACCTATTGACTTAGAATCTTCTAGAAAGATTTTGAGGGATCGTGCTGTATCTGCTTTTGCTAGGTGGATGTATGATGCAGGGCTTCCTTTCAATTGTGTTAATTACACAGAGAGTTTTGGTGAATTCATTGAGGCAGTTGGCCAATATGGCCCTGGAATGAAGCCCCCCACCTATCATGAGGTAAGAGTTCCTTTTCTAAAAAAGGAGGTGGAAAAGACAAACAAGATAGTAGAAGAACATAAGGTTCAATGGAAAACATATGGTTGTTCCATTATGATGGATAAATGGACAGCAAGGAATGGAAAAATGGTCATTAATGTTTTGGTGAATTCTCCAAGAGGGAGTGTGTTTCTTGAATCTTATGATGCTAGTGACTCTTCTACCGATTCTAATAAGATGTTTAACTTGTTTGAGAAGACTATCATGAAGATAGGCAAGGAAAATGTGGTACAAGTTGTGACTGATAATGCAAGTGAGAACAAAAAAGCGGGTAACATGTTGAAGGGAGTGTTCCCACATATTTTTTGGACTCCTTGTGCTGCTCACTGTATCAACTTGATGTTTGGTGACATTTTCAAAGAAGCCCCGTATTCTACAGGTGAACTTGAGTCTTGATATTTAATTTTCTTTTTTAAACTTTGTTAGCTTCTTTACATTTTAACTACCATTTTTTTAAACAGTTTTTGGTAAGGCAGTTAAGGTACATGCTTATATCAATCAAAGGGCATTGTTGTTGAATATGATGAGGAGATACACAAAGCAAAGAAATTTGGTAAAACCCGCCAAGACAAGATTCGCAACAGCTTTTTTGACTTTGTATAGTTTTTATAAGCAAAAGAAAAATTTGAGAACTTTGTTTATGTCAACTGAATGGAATGAGAGTATCTATTCAAAGGAAACTCTTGGTAAAGAAGTTGCAAGACACATTATTAGTCCATTTTTTTGGAATGACGTTGTTCAAGCACTTAGAGTTGGTGGTCCTTTAATTCATGTACTTCGTATGGTGGATGGGGAGAAAAAACCACCAATGGGTTACATTTATGAAGCCATGGACAGGGCCAAAGAAAGTATTGAAAAGGCATTCAATTATGATACAAGGAAATATAAAAGTGTTTTTGAAATCATTGATGCAAGGTGGATAGATCAACTTCATCAACCTTTGCATGCAGCGGGACACATTTTGAACCCAGGGCTCTATTATAAAAATAATGACATGAAGACTTTAACTGAAGATGTGTGGCAGGGATATCATAAATGTGTTGAGAGGATGATCCCAGATAAAAATTTGCAAGACAAAATAGGGGAGGAGCTTGGTGTGTACATGAAAGCGGATGGCCTACTTGGAATTGAATCAGCCATTAGAGCTAGAACCTTAAGGTCACCAGGTGAGAATTTCATCTTTTAATTGTGTTTAAAGCTTCAACTTTTAAGTTATTACACATCTTTTAAAATAACTCTTCTACAGTTGAATGGTGGATGCAATATGGTCATAATGTCCCAAACTTGCAACAGTTTGCTATTAGAGTGCAAAGTTTAACTTGTAGCGCATCCGGTTGTGAGAGAAATTGGAGCGTGTATGAACATGTGAGAAACTACATTACATTATTACTAAATTAATAGGTATCTTAATCATCCTAAGTCCTCCTATTAATTCCTTTCTACTATGTGCAGATTCATAGTAAAAAGAGAAATAGGCTTGAGTTGACACGCCTCAATGATCTAGTGTTCATCAAATATAATAGAACATTGGCGCGTCGTTACAATGCTCGTAATACCATTGATCCAATTTTGTTGGATAGTATTGATGAGGCAAATGAATGGTTAACCGGAGCACCCCAAGATCACCAAGATGAAGAAGTGTATGAAGGAGAAAGTCTCACTTATGGTGATGTTTCTATGGCAAGTGGTGTTGAGGAGAATATTTATAGTTTTAGGGGGAGTACTTTAAGGGGCAATGAAAGAGGAGCTAGAGGTTCCAGTTCAAGTCGAAACCTTGTTGATGAGCCTTCTGATGATGAAGAAGATGATGACCAAGTAGAACCCTTGGTTATGGCACTTGAAGAGTTTGAGGATCTTGTTGAAGAATAGGAGTTTGATTCTTTTGTGATTTAATTATGTTTTTGATTTTTTGCTTTATATGTTATGACTTATGAGTATTATTGACTATCTATTTACTTTTAATCTAAGAATATATTACCTCTATTCAGTTATTTAATATTTTTTTATTTTTATACTAAATATCGCTTTACTTAAAAAAAGCGCGCGCTTCGCTTCTCGCTTCTCGCTTCTGTTGACATATTATTTCAAGTTTTTGAGACTTGAAATTTTGAATGGTTCCATAAAATTTATAGGTAGTTATTAGTAATTCTAATAAAGCTCAATTCAAAATCAAATCAATACTAATGCTAACAAAAATAATTAATCCAACACTGACAGTGACAATAATGTTGAATATTTGTTTTTTAGTTTTACATTGGTTTTGACATTTAAAATACATAACCTAATTTTAATTTTTTTTTAAATATTTAATTACGTAATTAATACTTATTAGACTTATTTTAGCATGATTTAGTACTTTTAAATTACGATCATTTTCATTATAACTTATTAATTTGTAATATTTATGTTATGCACTTTCATTTTATTTTTTTGTTGAATCTTTTAGTATCATCACTCATCTCATATTTTGTATTATTTTCTTAAGAAATACCTTATATAGTTGTATTTTTGTAGAACTAAAGAAATATTTGGAGCACAAGTTAATTAGATGTTTGTATGGATACTTTATCGAAATAACCCGAAAATCCAAAAAAAAAAAATGAAAACCCCAAGGTTGAAAAACCCGAGTTTTATTAGTTTGATTTGGTTTATAAATTTAAAAATTCGACACAAATTGTTTGGTTTGGTATTTGAAAAATCCGAACCAACCCGGCCATGTACACCATACTAGTGTGTATCTAGTGTGATTCACATGTATCTGGGATACATGATTATCTCGCTGCCTCTCTTCCTATTTTAGTGTATCTGATAACAAAAATACATGTAACTAGGTGCATCTTTCTCTATATATGATAGAAAACTTTTAATTAGTGATACGATAGGTAATTATTTGAAAGTATAGGTAAAATTATAATATGGTATGAATGTATGTGTAGTTTTCCCTCTTATTTATCATCTTTATCCCATATATGGGGAATTAAAAGTAGGAAATTTTACACAAATTTTATAATGTTAAGAGTTAATTACATTTTATCCATATTATTTCCAAATTACAAAAATTCCTTAAATTTGGTGGAATTTGGATACATCCAAAACATCGAGATACATCGCGTCTCGAGTTCGAATACATCACTCAACGTCTCGATACATCGCGTACGTTCCGATACATCGCGTAAAGTGATGTATTCAACCGATACATTGAGTAAAGTGATGTATTCGAGAATAGAAGAGAGTAGAGATTTTGTAAATTTTTCAAAGGAAAAATTGTGCATTATAACAAACTATTAATTCAAAATAAATGTTATAGCTATAGTTTCATTTAATTCCAATTCGCAGCAAATTTTTTGTCATTTGTCTCTCTCCTCTCTCTGAAATCTCTCTCGCCACTCTCCTCTTTTTCAGTCATCTCTCCCTCGCCACTCTCACTTTATACAAACACATATGTATAGTTTGTGTTTGTGTTTGTATAAGCGAGAAGACTGTAAATACAAATACAAATACAAATACATATCTCTTTGTCCGATACACTTATAATTATACAAATACAAATCTTCTCCTGTCAGTTCTCTTTTGTCTTTTTCTCTCTCGCGCTTTATACAAACACAAACTATACAAAATACAATGTATAATTTGTGTTTGTATAAAGCGAGAGAGAGAGATTTGATATACAAACACAAATCTTTTAACTCAATTCAATTGTATATGAATTCAAATTTTATGCATATATACAAACACAATCATAGATACATATACATAGTAGTTACATATATACAATTATCTAACTGATATACATATACAATTCACCTCTCTACACTCTTTGTCCTCTCTCGCTCACCTCTTTCCTCTTTTTCCCAATCTCGCTCGCCGCTCTAGCCTTACATAGAAAACACATACATATACAAACACAATTTTCATAGACAGACAAATTAGCATCCTAGTTATACAAATCACGGCGATTTATACAAATCAGATGTTCCTTAGCAAACATAACTTGGCTATGGAGCGCAAATATCAATATTGTAGCTATACAACGATGATATGATTTTTATATTTGTTATTCCTAAAATTTACTTCTCTTTTTTTCAAATGGTAGAAAATTTTAAAGAATATGATAAGATAAGTTTATATTTTAATTATTTTCCTTAAGTATATACAAGCCCATAAGCTTCACAGCCCATACAGCTCATCCTATCAATTTAGGGGGTTTCTGAATTTTAACATCTCCTAGGGTTTCGGAATTCTCTTCAGTGTGAGAAGAGTGAGCCTGTGAGAGAACGCCATGGGTAAGTACAAACTAAGAACTTCCATTTTCATTTTCATCATTCGCATTACATTTTGTTAATTACTGAGTATTTTCCTCTTCTTCTTTTTTTGTAGCAAGGATCAAAGTTCACGAATTAAGGCAGAAATCCAAGGCTGATCTTTTGGGTCAGTTGAAGGATCTCAAAACTGAACTCGCTCTCCTCCGTGTTGCTAAAGTCACTGGCGGTGCCCCCAACAAGCTCTCTAAAATGTAAAATTTCTATTCATTTTTTGCGTCTTTGTATTAAATCAGAGATGGATTCAGAATATGAAATTTGCGGTAGTATTATAAGAATATGAATAGAGTGTAGTATTATTAATGTTAGTTATGTTGATATTATTTACGATTATTTCTTAGGTACAGTTTGGTTTGATGTATTAAAATTAACCTGTATTGCATAATGTGAAATAGGTTTTGAGGAGTAATTGTTTCTATAACCATGCTAATAGAGTGTATTAGGTATACATAGGTTGAAAAAGTACATCAAACAACGTATAAGTAATACACAAAGTTAATAAAAGAATTTGAAACCAGTTGATGCAGAGTGTAAATATCTATACAACATCAACAATTGGTTATCGTCACAGAGGGGATCTATAATTTGAAATCAGTAGGTGTAGAGTAGGACTGCCCATGCTATTCTTTTACAACAACTTAGTAAAAATATCTGTTTTATAAAAAAAAATCAACTATATAGAGTTGGATTGAGTGAGTTGAGCTTAAATGGAACCTCATAAACAGGGTGAAAACTTATCCGTATTGGGTGTTTTCACCAATTCAATACATCTATGCCATATGTTTGTACATAGACTTTTTTACTTGACCATGATTAATCAACATGTATTTTTACTCTATTAAATCAGTTAACCATGGTAAGTTGTATTGGTTTGATGTAAACACTTGGTGTGGATAAATTTTACTCATGAACAGTGAGGTCTCACATAGTCGACCCCAGTTTGGTTGGATAGAACCTTAGTTGTCTTTTATATGGATATACATAGTTGGACCTAAAGTGGTGGGTGTGCACTTGCTTCCACGAAGCTGCATCTGTCCGTGTTGACATATATGTGAAGCTGACTCATTTATTGAAATGGTTCACCTTTTTTTAATGCAGAAAGGTGGTAAGGCTGTCAGTAGCACAGGTGTTGACGGTGATATCGCAGAGGCAGAAGTCAGCACTAAGGGAAGCATACAAGAATAAGAAGTACTTGCCTCTTGACCTTCGTCCCAAGAAGACCAGAGCCATCCGTAGACGTCTTACAAAGCACCAAGTAATTGAATCCTGACCCTGATTCTTATGGATTTGATGTTAATTTTCTAATAATTGAAAGAACTATATAATGATTTGCCATTCTAGACATAAAACTGTTGCTTTCTTTTGTGTTGTTTGGTATAGTTTGTTAGTTTTGTACTCAGTTCTTTAGATATGATGCAGAATTTTGAATTTGTTATTATTAGTGGCACTATATTCTTTTTTCAGCGTGTCACAGTTATATGCCACTAAATTTTCCTAAAAAGACAAAATTTAGTATTAGATGAAATTTGGCTCGGATAGAGTGGAATGGATATAAAGGATTCATATAGCCGAACCCAACTAGATTTGAATTGAAGTGTAGTTTATCAAAATGTTGCATAATATCCCTATCTCTATGAGATTGTTTGGTTGGGAAATGTGTATTGATTTACCGCTCAAAAGTAAAATGTTATGCTCGTTTGTTACCATGTTGCATTTAAATGTTTACTGGCATTAGACTGCTTCCTTCTTTTGAAGGAAAGAAAGACTGTGTTTCCGATCAATGATCTGCCGTATTTAGATCCAACTATTTGGCAAACTGCACAACCCAAGCTCTCATCTTGCAATTACATGTTAAATATCTTAAAAGGTTGAAGTATGTTGACATTTACATGTCATTTACCCTCTTTCCAATATTATACAAAGCAGTTTGCTGGTAAAAGGTAATGTAAGGAGAGGGAAGAAATAGAAAAACTGTATAAAGAAAAGGTGGAGGAGGAAATACATCAAAATGTTCATTTTTATTCCATTTAGCTCCGACTTATGTTGTCCATTCTCCGGTGTTTATTGTGTTGTACTCGCAATTTGGAAGTAAAATTGGTTAATCTCTCTGTATACTGCCTAATTCTGGAAATAAACGTTTTGCTTTTGTGTGTTTATATGTCGAGTTCACTCAGCATTAGTAGCTTAGCACCTAGCACAAACTTCCACCAGTCTACAGCTGTACCGATCGCCCTCACCCCAACAAGCACAAATAACACCTGAAGGGTTCTTGTTAAGGACTTTGTTGCCTTAATATGACAATTCTCATTTCGGTGGCTAGTTTTGCCTGGATTTTTTGGGGGTAAATACATATTCGAGTTACATTAGAATAGTCCACTATCAGCATAAGCACTTGCTTTTGCTTTTGGAGTATGTATTCAGCTGAGACTGCTAAATTCAGACATGATGTTTTTTTTGGGCACGTCTTTTGTGTTTTCTTCTAAACTCACTTCTGACTCGTGGTTCTTGCTCTTGAATTAACGACTTGTGTGTGCTTAACATGTAGGCATCTTTGAAGACGGAAAGAGAGAAGAAGAAAGAGATGTACTATCCATTGAGAAAGTATGCTATTAAGGTTTAAATATCCGACTTAGATAGTCATTGTGATGTTAGAACTAGTACGAGCTGAGCAAAGCAGAGTTACATTTTCGCTACTGAGTAGTTATATTTTCCATCGTCATTCCTGTCATTGTATTGTGAAGCGGAAACTTTTGTTTATTTTCTCATGTTTCAGTGAAGGTTCTTCAGTTTTTACAAGTATAATGTTCATGTCAAAATATTTGTCTTCGTGTATACGATGTGATATGTTCTGCAAAATCCATCTAGTATAAAATTCATGAAATGCTATCATATAGGATAAAATTCTGCTCGATTTATCAAAATCATCTCTAATTGATTTATGAGAGAAGTATCAAAATTAATATGGTGAAATGTAAACCTTGTGTGAAAAGTTCAATGATTCTTCTTAAAGATTCATTAGATGAAAGAATTTCAGTTATGTGTGTTCCATTTATATTTATATAAAATTAGCCAAGGTGATTAACTCTGCTATTTCTTTGTATGAATTTTGACTTTGGATTGAAAAGGCTTTAAGGAAAAGGTTGGGAAAAAAAAAATAGGGATTATTTAAGGAGGTTGTCATTCCCATTTAAAAGGTGAAGGGGTATTATTTCCCACCCTTAAAGGTTAAGGAGGTAAAATAAGTTTTAACTATTTAAAAAATAATGACATATGTTTGGATTAGTTTATGAGCATCTCAACTACTCTATTGAACATAGGTGTGTTTGGTATGAGGGAAAAATATTTTCTTGCAAAATAAGTGCTTATCTTACTTATTTTATGTTGTTTGATTAGTAAGACAAATATATTGTTTCAAGAAAATCTATATCTATATATAATATAAAGCTGGATGTGAAAACGGTGATGTGGCGAAGCCAGGATTCCTATTTATCTATTTTTTGAATATTTTTCCTCACACTAAATACAATACTTTAAGAAGAACTGAAAGTATTAACCATATACATTAAGAACTATATGCATTCAATTACTAAATGGAAGATAAAAGGCTAAAAAATTGAAAGTATTAACAATATACGTTAAGATCTATACGCATTCAATTACTAAATGGAAGATGAAAAGGCAAAACTGTTTATTTTAGCATATAAAATAGAAGGGTAAGGGAATATGCAACCTTTGATTTGCTTCTCTTCCTTCTGAGATGTGCATATTTCTTTAAGAAGAGAAAGATATACAATCTCAAAGTCCTTCCGAAATGACTTGTTTCATGGGCTTAATTATCAGTGCCTATAACTACTTGAATGAGCTTTTCCTCATTTCTTGCTATGATTTCAATTAGTAGTTTCTCCAATAAGGAGATACATACTACGATTTTTTTTTCATTTTGTTAGAGAAATTTATATGAAAAGTAATCAAAGTGTCAAAAGGCAAGAAAAATTATTTGTAGAAAGTATCAATCTATTTGTGGAACTTATATCAAATTAGGAGGAGATTAAGGAGATAATATTTCATATTGAAGGGAACAATTTAAGGGAGCAGAATAGAAAAGAAAATGAAAGAAACAAGGAAAAACAAAGTTTGACAGAATAGCAAATCTGGCGTTTATTGAATCAAAATTAGTCGCGAAATTATTAATTTCTTTCAATTTCTTTAGTCCTTTATTTTTCTGTTTTATTTTCCTTCTGTATTTTCAATTAAAGTTAATGTTCTGAATTATAAGATATGATGATAAAATTATGCAAAAAGGAGTAATGTATCATATATATATATAATTGTAATCAATATTTCTAGGTGAAAAAAATAAAAGAAAAAGGTTTAAAATTTAGGTGAAAGATGTTACATTATTTATGGCATTTATTTATTTTTTCAATTTTTTTTTAAAAATATTTTTCTAATTATTTTAATTTATATATAAAAATTATAAAATTATTTCTTAATTATTTATCTCTTTTTCAGTTTAGTCCGAAAATTATTGTCATTAATTTAGTGATTTAATGATAATTTATTATGTAATAAATAATATTATTGAACAATTTCTATCAATATATAAAGTAAGCATAAATTAAGCGACGTGACAATTCTCTTTGAACATTTTTTTTTCCTTTCTTTTTGCTTATTTTTTTTTATCCATTCTTTGATTTATTGTTTGAAATTTAAAAAAGCAACGAAAAATCTATATATATATATATATATATATAGCTAAAAAAAAAGTGGTGTGACACCTCTCAATGGCCAATAATCATATTTATCTTTTTTGTGGTTTTCTTGATATTTTTTTCAATTATTTTATTTTATAAAATCATCTCTTTAATTCATACCTCTTCAATTACATAATTAATTTAGTAACATCTATAACTTCTAACCTTTCATATTCATAACTTTCAAACTATTTAACATAGAATTTTATAACTCCTTAAAATCACACTTATAAAAACCTATTTTGAGACATATATGATGATTGTTTTATTTTCATTTTTTTATCCTTCATCTTTTGTCTCATTGGTTGATTAATTTTTTCTGTTCTTTGATCTGATTTTGCAGGAGATATATCTATAATGAAGAATATTAGACATTTTTACATAGTTTGCTTTTACGAGGTAAACTGATTCGATATGCATAGTATAATTATCACTTTTTCTATTGTAATTATATATTTAATTATTTTTTTGGATTCTTGGTTATATGAATCATGAGTTTTCTTTTAGAAAAAAATATTTGATTTTTTCTCTTTGCTTCTCTTTGTAGGTTCCTTCTTTCTTCTTTAACTCATAACTAAATAGTCTTTAAGATTTTTACTTGATTAGGTAATTTTATTTTTATGTTTTTTTTTGTTGTTTAAGGTTAACTTACCGTGTTTTTAGGTCTGAATATCTTTAAAAATAAAAACAAAAAGATGAGTTAATATATACATGTATGCTACTCAGGAAAGCATGTAGATGTAATTTTATAGTTATGTGGATTAACTTTTTATTAATTATAATGATAGAACATGAGAATGCAAAGTTAATTAATTTTTAAAATACAATATAATTCATAGAAAAATTGACTATTAATACGTAACTTTATGATCTTCTTATTTTAATTTATTATTATTATTATTATTATTATTATTAGAAGTTCTTAAGTTTTTGATTCCCTCTTCTTTTTTTTAAATAAATAAATTAAATAGTAATTCTATTGAATATTTAACATTTGTTGTTTGAAAGATTAATAATAATTAGGAGTATATAAGTTTTCGTATAGTGCTTAAGTGAGTCTTCACAATTGAAAATTTCTATTGACTATAGTGCTTTAAGATCGTGTGCTATTGTAAAATTTATTAAAATTTACTTTTGTAAATGATAATTATAATTATTATTTTTTATTTTTTAAAAAAATGTGTTTCATGAGTTACAAAAAAAAAATCCATCTATTTGCATTCTCTACTTAAATAGCATGTCTCCTCAACTTCTTTGTATTTAGTTTTTCATGATTAATCAATCTATAAATAGCAATTCTCCATGGAGTTGTTTAAAAATTAATCTCATTATTTAAAAGAATTAAATGGAGAGCACAACCAAGGAAGGAAAAAAGTTGTACAATACACTAATTTTTCAAAAGAGAAAAATACCAACAATATTACAGAATCATGTAACATTATACGTTAATGAACTTACAATTATGAATTACTTTTTATACAATTACAACATCCTAAACTAATCCTTTACACCTTTTCATTTACTATATTTGCATAATAAATTAATAACATGTCTTTCATAATAAATAAATAAATAAATAAATAACAATACAAATTCCCAACTTTCCTCCAATTATTTATCAAAATCTTGACACTTATCTTTACACAAACATTTAACAAATTCATAAAATTAATTCATTATTTAAACAATTAAATGAAAAACACAATCAACAAATGAAAAAAGTGGTATAAATACCACAAACAAAATTAAAAATATCAAGACACGCCATTTATCTCCATAGTCACCATTGGTTAATTGAGGTTAGTTTTTCAAATGTTCAATATTATTATATTTTATTGCAACACTTTATCCTTAGTTTGACTTTGACAAATACTTATACAAAAGTACTACAATTGATAAGAAAATTATGGATCATCCCCAACAAATTAGTTCGAAGAATTGTCAAGGTAAAATATTAATGTTAATATTCATAACTATATTAAGTTGTACGTCTATACAATTAACAAAACATTTATTTTTGCATACAGATGCAACCGAAAAATCAAGCAAAGCTATTAAAGTGATGAAAATATTATGCAATGGCGAATTGCATATTTCAGAAAGGAACAAGAGCGATAGAAAAAATATATACATAGAGAAATTTCACTTGATCAATCTTACAAAGAATGACATGACGTTTTTCATGTATTGATTTCAATGTAATAGGGAGATGAAATAATTTTTTAGTAGAGAATATTTTCTCTAAAAATCAATCTAATAACAAATGATAGGACGTTGTTGATGTATTTCTTTATATTTTTTACTGTTATTTTACATTGAAAGCCATTTCAATAACATTCACAAAAGTATCCATAATAGATATTACAATATAAAAGTTCAATCTCCTTGATATCTTAATAAAAAGCAAGGAGGACCATCAAAACATACTAACAATTCCCCCATTCAGTGCAATGGAAATAAAATAATTTTTAATAGAGCATGTATCATTTCAAATGAAGAGATAATGATAAAGTTAGATAATATAATGATATAACTAATCCACAAGAAAAATTATTCTAACATATATTTTTAACCCTTGCGCGAAGCGCGATCATGTTCTCTAGTTTAGGTATAATCTCGATAAATACTATAACACCAGAATCTGAATCCTCACCCTTTAAGGTGGACCCGGGTGGGGAGTTGGATACCAGATCAGGGTCGGGAGTTTGGCTCCTAGTTAGATTCGAGGTCGAGAGTTCGATCCAAGATCAGGGTCCTGACCTCGACTTAGGACCCGACTCCCAAACTTGAGCTAGGATCCAACTCTTGACTCGGGACTCAACTTTCGATCCTAACCCAATAAAAAACTACTCCTAACCTCAACACATGATTCGACTCCAGAACCTGACCCAAGACTCAACCCCAGTCCTGATCGAGGTCGAGAAAAAGAACATTGGTAGTAGTTGGGTCACAGGACTCGAATCACGTTCTGGAGTTGGGTTCTGGGTCGAGATTGAAGTCATTTCCAAGTTAGAGATCGGGTCTTGGTTTGAGATTTGATTTTAAGACCGGGTCTAGTTGTAAG